GGCGGGGGCGGCCGCCGAGCTGCCGGTCTGAGAGGGGAGGATGCCGGTTGTGCTTCTCCTGCAGAGGTCGCGCCAGCTGCGCACCCAAGACACCTTCTACACGCGTTTTGACACCTGCAGCCGAAAGTATCTGGCGCCGAGAGTGGGATTCGGCGTGCTGGCAGGAGGGGCTCCTTGCATCAGGTCGCGCGTTTGCGCAGCGGTGTAGTATATGCTACAGGTCAGCCGGGTTTTTGCCGTTGCTCCTGCCGTTTGCTGCGTGCCAGTTGCTGCCCTTGCGGTCCACCAACAGTGACGGCAATGCTCAGCTTCTCATGTCAAGCCTGTGTGCCTTTCTTGCTCCGAGTGACGCCATGGGCCACGGCCCAAAGTGGCCGGCTGCCACTTTTCTAAACCCCAAGCAAGGACACGCCCTGTCGTCCAGCTCAGGCACCGTCCTCCTGGACGCTCCGCCAGGTTCACGTCTGCGGCCCCCTGGGCCGTCCTTCCTCCCAAAATAAAATTGTAACAATGGGTGCCATTCCATTGCCAGCGGCCCCTCGTGTCGAGCTGTCGACACTGCATCAAACGGGCATAGGGGCCACCTTGACAAGCTGGGGTATCCAATGCCCGAAGCCATCTGCCGCACGGGCCGCGTAGTTTTGGGCCACGTAGCTCCACACGCATTGGTGCATTACGTATGCCTGTGCCATGCAGGATCTCACTGAACAAAGCACGCACCAGTGAGTTGTTAGTTGCAAAAGCAGCAAGGTTGAAAGCCATCACATGGTCACAAGGATCACGGGTCAGCCAGAGCACTGCAGCCACTAAAAATGAAAAGAATGAATGCGTCCAGAATGTAACCTCATCATGTTACTCGCGCTGCTGGGCCCGGGGGCACAACCAAATGATGATCGGGACGTGCTGTGCGTGCTTTGCTGCACCTCGCCGCTTGCCTGCGCCGCAACCACATGATAAAGCCGGGGCCGCAGCAGCGCGCGACTCGAAATATATACTCGTCGATTCAACTATTATCCAATGACCACCCACACTCAACATGAATCGCACCGCATCGTCGATCTTCGACACGGGCCGCGTGTAAGGCGTGACGGACGCAGCCACAAGCAACATATCATCATAATTCCAGTACACCTAGCCTGCAGACATCAGCTCCGAATTGTCACGCGGGCTTGTCCCTCGAAGCGCGGGATCTGCCAGCCCTTCGCCCATCAAGCCGCCCAAACCAGTGTGAGTTGGTCCACGTGCCAACTTGAGTTTGGTACGGTCTTTGTACCAACTCCTTTGACAGCGCGGGCCCCCAACCACCCCAACCGTCTCGAACCCGACTCCGGTGCCATCGCATCCCCGCTTGTTCAACGCAGACATGTACTAAACCTTGTCGTCTGTCTCTACCACGCTGCTGGGTTGCCACGGCCGAACTGCCGCCGCCTCCGGCTGCGTCATAGGCAATGCCGCAGCGCTCGGTTGCTGCGGCGACTGGCAGCACGCCACCGCTCATGCCGTTGCGCGAAGCACCCGCAGCGACATCAACCCATATGCCTCCCTCGCCGCTCAAGCCTACAATGGACGCCACCCCCACACCTAGCCCTCGCGGCGGCTCACCGCGGCTCCACTGCGGCCGGGGCGCAGCTATCCTCAGTGCACTGCGGTGGGCCGCTACGCTGCTGGCCGGCACGTGCGCGCTGTCCCGGCCGCAGCGGCAGCCGCAGTCGCCTTTGCTGGGGCAGGGTCTCCCGTCTTCGGCTGCAGCTGGTGGGGCCTCTGGTCAGTGGTGCTCGCCTTTGCCGGTCTGTCCACCCTCTGGGATCTAACAGAGCTCGGAGGGATGCACGCCGCGGCTGCGCTGCGCTTGCGGCGCCGCCACGACCGCATGCCCGCCGGCCGCGGCGCGCCGGGCGCGCCGGCCCCAACCCCTGCTGCCGCCGCCCACCCCTTTGCCGTCGCCGCGGGCGAGCCGGCGCCTGCGCGTGCCGGCCCCCAGCGCGCCGCGCTGGTGACCACTTTCATGCAACCTCCACCCACGCCGGCACCCACTGCGGCATCAGCCGGCGACAGCCCCGCGCTCAGCCCCTGCGCGGCGGCGCCCGGTGCGCCGGGCCCCTGCATTGACCTGGCCGTGCTGCGGGACCTCCTGAGAGACCACAAGCGCGCCTCAGCCGCGGGCGCGGGCGCCGGCGGCATGGGCCTCGAGCATGCCGGGCGCGCGGCTGGCGGTCAGGGCGCCCTCTACTCGAGTCAGATGAGGCACGTTTCGGTCAGCGCCAAGGTGAGGCTGCCGAGGGGATGTGGACTGGCAAGCGTGCTTTGGGGGATCTCGTGGATTGCGCATGCAGGCATGGGGCTTGGAAGCAGCTTGTGCGCTCGAGCTGCTTTTCACAGCGCACCGCGTGCAAGCATGCACACACGCATGCGGGCGTTCTGCATGCATGCACGCCAATAGCATGCATGTGTGCATGCATGCGAGGCGTGCCGACTCCAGCTCATGCACAGCTTTGCGGCAGCTCGGCTGCGTTTTTCCAGGCGGCACCGCTGGACGGCCACCACATATGACCATGCATTGACAGCAGCCCCCCTTCTGCCGCCAACCCTCGCTGCACGCCGCACTGCCCCCACCCTGTCGTTGATGTTGCCCGCTCGCAGGTGCATGACCACCCGCCCGACTTTCACGCCTACGCCTCGCGCCTCTCGAGCGAGGTCGCTGCTTCCCTCAGCGCCGCCCTTGCGACGCAGCTGCGCGGGTGCGCCGGTGGAGCGGCGGCGGCAGCGCGCCTGCCGACAGTGGTGCGCGCGGTTGTGGCGGAGGGCTGCGTGCAGCTGGTGGCGTGGGCGGCGGGCGCGCTCGCGCACCTCGCGATGGGGCCGCCGGTGCCACTCGCGGGCGGCGACACTGCGCCCGCAGCCGCGGACAGCGGCCCCCAGCGCTTGGAGAGAGGCGTGGTCGAAGAGGTCGTCTCTGGCAGCGAGCTGCTGCGCGCCGCCGCCAGCGCGACGCTGCAGGTTGGCGGCACCGTCGCCACGCTGCGTGGCGGCGGCGGCGCAGCCTTCTCGCAGCTGAGCGGGCGGTGTGCCGGCAGCGGCGCCTGCGACAGCGCTGACCGTGGCGACCTGCAGCTTCAGTACGCCTGGCCCTGCTGCCTCCCCGTCGCCGCAGCGCCGTGCTGCGCTGCCGCTGCTGGGGCCGTCCTGGAGGTCCGCCTGGCGCCGGCCGGCGCCGCGGCCGCGGCGGGCGTGCGGGCGCTGCGGGCGCGCGCGCTGCTGGTCGATGGCGCGGACGTGCTGCTTGATGCGCGCCTGGTGCTGGACACTGCGCGCCCTGTGGTCAGGTGGGGCCGCATGACTGGGCCTCATGGATAGCTTACCCATTGAGTGGGGTTCCCTCGGCGACAGCAGCCAGGAGGGCAGGGGCTGAGGGAGGCGACTGCTGCTGGAACCTGCGCTTTGGCAGGCAGCCAGACACTCCAGCGCTTGCCAACCAGCATTGCTGCGTCCATGCTACGCTGGCTTCCAAATTTCTGTGTCATTTGCACCCACGTACATGCACACACGCCAAGCAAGCCTGCACGCTCGGCCGTCTGCACCCACACCCACGGGCTCTTCTTGTTCACTTACCACCCCCTGTCCCCACCCTTCCCTGGAACCAACGCCAGGATTGAGCTGCCCCCAAGTCTCTGCCTGCACCAGGGCTCATATGAGCTCTGCATCTTGTCGGACATCCCCACACAAGGCGGCGACACCGCCTCCACCGCTTCACCCACGCCCCTGCTGCCGCCGGCGGGCTGCGTGTTGGCGTCGTTGCCGCTGCTGGTGCTGCCGGCGGCCGCGGTGCGCGAGCTGTGCGGGCTCCTGGACACCATGACGCAGGAGGAGGTGGCCAAGAGGGCAGCTGCCGCGGTCTCAGGCACTCCTGTAGCCCAGGACCCCCTTGGAGCGCTTGCGCCCCCATCACGCGGCAACTTCCTCCGTCGCCTTGGCGCCGCACTTGGCCTTGCGTGCAGCGCGCCGCCCCAGCCCGCGGCGGAAGCGGCGCCGTCGCAGGCGCGCGCGGCGGCGTGGCGCGGGCACTGGCGGCCGCTGTTGGACGATCTCGGGCTCTTGTTGTCCCTGCCTGCGCGCGGCGCAGCGGGGACAGAGGAGATGGGAACAGAGGGCGCCGGCGAGCTGGCGCGCGTCACCGCGGTGGGTTTAGCAGGGCCTTTGGGGCGGCCGGCTGGCTGCCGGCCTCACGCGCCTCTGCAAAGCCCGCCCTGGACCCCTGGGTGCCCCTCGGCCTTGCGGGCGCTGCCGCCGATGCAGCCGCGCGTGCGCTCCGCGCCGGCTACCTTCGGCCCCCGCATTCACATGCCGCCATGACGATCCCACTTCAAATCTCCCTACTGCAAGACATCCACAGCCCTGATACATCTGACCGCATGACTAACAGGTGCTCCTGAAGTATCTCCTGCAAACCTCCTGCTTCGCCGCCGCCGCCGCGCTGCTGTCTGCCGCCTGTGCCGCCGGCCTGCCCTTCAGCTGGCGCGGCGACCGCCTGGCGCACGGCGAGCAGATGGGGCCTGGCCCTGCGGAGCTGGCGGGCATGATGGACGAGCTGGCGTACGAGATGGCTCAAGAGGGGATGGGGCGGCAGACAGAGCGGGCGCAGCAAGAGCAGCACGAGGAGGCCGCTGAGGGGGCCCCCGCAGCCCAGGAGCCAGGCGCTGCGTGTGTAGATGCATCTGCGGCCGGGGGCGCCAGTGACGACCCGGCGCTGGCGAGCGCGCCACGCAACCGCCGCACGGCAGTGGCGG